TCGCCCGCCGCTCGTCCTCACCCCGGCTTGAACCGGACGAGCGGTTCGTCCTCAGTTCACGCTCCCGGCTCCGTCGTGTTACAAAATAAAGGGAGCGATGAGAGCGGCGGGTCGCGACGCGGTCGAGCGGGAGTGAAGGGTTCAACCGGGGCTCAATTAGACTGAAATATTTACATTTTTAGCAACAAGAAGAACCAGAAGTTCACGTCCCGGAGCGGCTCCAGAACTCCCACAGCGCAACATCACAAACGCTGCTTCACGCAGAGGTGAACTCCGGTTACTAACGTTTTAAAACATAACTCTGCTTTGTGTTTTCTACAGCTCAGCCGCCGGGTCTGACCCAGTTTCCTGCTGAAGAACTGGGTCACGCTGGGAACATAAATAAGGAGTCGGTGGTTCTGCGAAGGGATTTTCTCCACATACTTTACATTGTGTACACAACATGCTTCATATGGACCGTTACTTATTCAGGCAGCGCTTGAGTTACGGCTGTAAGTGTGAGGGGTCTCGGTGCCACTCGACGAATCAAAAGCCGCTGAATTAACGACCCACGAGAGGAAGAACTGGAGCTGTTATCAGCGAGGACGAGTTCATGTGAGGGTTAGAGCGGCAGACGGGTTCACGCTGGGTTTGATGGATACGTGTTTAGTTTGGAAAAAAGGAAAAGGAATCACTAATAGCTGATAAAGAGTTTATAGGAGGTTCGGAGGAGGGGGAAGGTTCAGTCGGGGGTGAAGACCAAGCTCCAGACGCGTTTGTTTAAGGTTCACGGGTGAGTGTTTAAGGGTTATGAAAACAGCGGACAGTTCAGCCTGTGGTCATGTCCTCAGAGCTGCCTCCGTGTGTGTGTGTGTGTGTGTGTGTGTGTGTGTGTGTGTGTGTGTGTGTGTGTGTGTACCTGGTATTTCCTTGATGACCACCTGGCTGAAGTCGCAGGTGACGTCGGGCAGCAGGTATCGCCGCGGGTCGCCGATCTCGTACACCAGCTGCTCAGCCACCGTGCCGAAGGAGACGAGGCCGCCGGTTTTGGGCGGTTTGGAGAGAACGAAGGCGCCGTCGCTGGAACACTCCACCACCGGGAAACCCATGTTGTCCCTGAGAGAGAAACACGACGGCGGTGACACTGATTCACGTGTTTCCTCCACTTCTCCGGTCGTTTAGTGAGTGGAGGACGAGCTCTGCTGATTTCTACTAGAATCTCATTTAAAGTTCCAAGACCTGGAGATGAAAGAATTAAAGCTCCTCCAGTGTAAAGGTCTGTGTCCATGTGTAGTGTGATTATAGATCAGCTCTAGCTTCTATATTAATACTGTGAAAGTATCAAAGCCTCAGTCCACAGAGAAATGCACACAGCCTGTATTCAGAAACTGAGCCTTAAAACCAGCCGTCAGGACTTCTGGAACTTTGTGATGTCACAACAAAGCAGTCACCAAGCCCCGCCCACCTGGACCCACCATCCAAACCTTGCAGGATTTGGTTTCTCTGAGTGTTTTTACCTGAAATCTGCTTTATTTTTATTGGACCACTCAGAAAACAGTCAGCCAATCAGAAGAGAGGCTCAGAGCTTTTGGGTTCTTTCTTACCAGTCGGGAACTCTGTGCCAGTCGGTGAAGATCCCACCTGTACTCTGAGCTCCACACTCGATCAGGTGACCTGCAAGACTGATTTACACACACAGAAACACACAAATATTTATAATACAGCCACAATCTATTTTGTTTTTTTTACAGTGTTTGACAAAGTCAGATCGATGGACCAATATAGTAGTGAAACTTTCTGAGCCATGTGGCTGAGTTTCATGATGTCACCATTAGACGTGACTAAATCTGTCACAGTCCTGTCATGTTTGAAAATGAAAAAACCACGACTATGTCCAAATTACAAAAAACACATCTGAGATGGAGGCTGAAACCTCAGGTACAGACACTGTGTCCCAAGACCTGAACAGATGAAACTATCAATCATTACTATCAGCACTGAGCGACGCCACCAGATGATTAATGATTAATGATTTAGTACTGGCCCTTTAAGAGAGAGACAAACCCAGCAGTGTAACAGATTCATGTCTGAGAGGAAATGAGGAAGAAGAAGCATCATAAATCTTTGCTTGTTCTATGAACTTATGTTAGATGTATGAATGGTATGTTTTGGTGCGCGTGCGTGTGTGCATGTGCGTGTGTGTGTGTGTGTGTGTGTGTGTGTGTGTGTGTGTACCTCCCAGCTGCAAGTAGGTCATAATCATCCCTCTCCCATCCGAACTACAACAGATAAAAAAAAGACGGACAGAAGTTACATTCCTGAACTTTGTCTCCTCCTGGATGTTCCTCACACACACACACACACACACACACACACACACACACACGATCCCGTCTTCTTTCGTCTTGTTTCGTCTGAAACTCAAAGTTCAGTTAATTTGTCGTAAAGACAAAGAAATATCAAATTCTAACATTTAAGAAGCTGCAGCCAGAAAATATATAAAACTTCTGCTTAAAAAACTGACAAGTGATTATATAATATTCAACTGTGCATCAAACGTACGCTGTGCATGAGCGGCCCCAACGCCACGGCGCTGTCCACACAGCGTCCTGTCACCACGATGTCCGCCCCGAGGTCGAGACAACGCTGGATAGGAACAGCCCTGAAGAGGGCGAGAGAGAGAGAGAGAGAGAGAGAGAGAGAGAGAGAGAGAGAATAAACACCAGCAGGTCGACTACACCTTCATTATGATTATCCTCAGGTTCTATGGAGAACCACAAGTGTCACACAGATAGTAATAAAGCATTTAATTAATGAAATACTAATCGCACAGTAAAAATAGGCATTCATACATTTCTTTAATTTAATTAATGTATAGTCTACAAATACAAATAAATTGCTAAGTAATTAATCATTTCATATTCAATGGACAATAAAAGAGGAATTATAAAAATAATTTACAAATTAAATATTAATCCATCAATAAATTGTTCAAATTAAAAAGAAGTTTATAAAAACAATATACAACAGATCATCTGAACATCATTTAAATTTAAATGAATTCATAAATAAATAATGGAATCTAAAAATCTGTTTAAAACGAGAAATAAATAAAAATAAAATAAACTACATTTTAATGAGGCGTTTAAAAAGACAATTATCTTTCCCATTTGTTTTTACATTTCCCCAGTTCTTTTCTTTTTCCTATTAGCTCTTAGATTAGCTTAGCCATTTAGCTTCTTCTTTTTGTCTCTCTGTGACACTTTGGGCTTTTGTGCAAATAAAAATGTAAATTACCCACAGGATGTAACAAGCTCTCTTTTTATCTTACTATTAATCAGTAATTAATTAAATGCTTTATTTCTGTTTCCGTGACATCAGTGATCCTCCATACATTTGAACACATTTTAGTTTTAAAACTCACTCTGTCAGTTTTGTGAGTTATATTTTGAATAAACGATCAAACTCACTACGAAACATGAAATCAAAGAGTGTGTGTGTGTGTGTGTGTATGTGTGTGTGTGTGTGTGTTCGTACCCAAGGTAAGCGTTCATACTGTGCAGTGTTTTAGGTAACTGATGTCTGCTTCCGTCAGACGCCACCTTCACTTCGGAGAGGCTGTTTCTCTGAAAGCAGAGGGTTCAATCAATCAATCAATCAATCAATCAATCAATCATCATCTCTGCAATTAAAAAAAAAATAAAAAATGAATGAATGATGGTGTCGCTGGAAGGGAGGGGTGTCTTACGTGGGGCATGAGGTCATCGCCGGTCACCACCGCCACCTTCAGGTCAACGCCGGCCTTCTTGATGACTTCCTGTATGGCCTCAGCGCAGGCCAGAGGGTTCACGCCTCCTGCATTACTGACGACACGAATACCTGCGAGGACGAGAGAGGGCGATGTTTACGTTTACACCTGTCACTGTGAGACTGTGGTTACCATGGAGACAGTCCAAATAACATCAGATTGGTTGCAATTAAACATTCAATGTCACATTTAAAGGCTTGAATTCCAAAATAAAGGCCTTAATAACAATAATGATCTGATGATTGCTGTCATTTTGTCCAAAATATTTACAGAAAACTATTTAAAAATAAAACAACAAAAAAGACATTAATAATAATGAATAATAATAATGGATTGATAAAAACATGGCTGCTGCTTTGGTGCACAAAGATTCTTACGACCAGCAGAGAGCAGGATTCATGTTTTTAGATTCACTCACCTTTCCTGTGGATGTCGTTAATGAACGGAGCCAGAGCGACCTGGACAAAGTCTGGAGTGTAACCCTGATTCTACGAGAGGACGGGGACAATAACAATTTATTAACGCTGTCATTTCAAAAGGAAAAAGGAAGATCATGAATCACTTAGAGTCAGTTAAACTGTTGCATAATAGACCTTAGCAACCAAAGTAAGGAAAAAAACTCAAGGTACCTCTGAACACATCCCAGGAAGTGCTTATGACGGGACACACCCTTCATGATGCAGTAACACCCTTAAGTAACTCCCTCAGCTGAGGAGAAATTAAACCTTAAGTGTCTTTACTTAAGTAGAAAAGTTAAAGTGTTTTGTGCAACCGACCCCAGACATTTCAGGCCTTGAAATCCAAACCAAACTTCAAGAGGAAAGACTTTCAGTTGCACAGAGAAGATACCTGCACTCTCAAGGTCTACAACTGTGCACACACGCGCGCGCGCACACACGCACACACACACACACGCACACACACACAGAGTTGACTCACAGGCATCTTGGCTTTGGCGGCGGTGAGCAGAGACATGGTGATCTCACTGAGGTAGTCAAACACCAGGAAGTCCAGCTTCCCACTGTAGATCAGCTGAGGCACTGAGGACACACACAACAAGTTAACACACACTAATACACACACACACACACACACACTAATACACACACACACACACATTGGAGTTTCAGGGTCGTGGTGTTGCCGGTTCACTGTCAGTGTTGTTATTTACGGAGACACCCGAACACACCTGTGCTTAACCTGCTCTGTTAAGTCTCACGTTCACCTGTGTTACCGTTTGTTTTAAACCCACTGAAACGTGTACTTGTAGCGTAATGAAGCTAATGCTAATGAGTTAGCTTCGACAGTTGTTGTTCTCCGTACCTGAGGTCGCCGTGTCCCCCCAGAACCCGGAGGCACAGCCGATGCGGACCGGTTTGGACCTGGCAGAACTTGTGTAGCACCTGGAGCTGGTTCTGTGTCGACGGTCTGTGTTCGACGACGACTCAGCGGCGGAAGAGCTAAAGTGTAAAAAGTTAGCGTCAAAACACAAACTGACGCACTTGTCTGCGCCTCCGCAGCGCGACAGCCGCCGGAAGGCTGAAGGTCCATTACGGAGTAAATGTGGGAGTTGAGACATCGCTAATAAATGTTATTTACAGTGGAGGGAAAAAAAAAAGTAGAAGAGAAGGAGAGCTTTTCTCTGACAAGTTCAAGGTGCACTGGTCCATCCATAAAAATAGTCCGACAGGAAACACGTCACGGAACGGTTTATCTGTCCATCCGGTGGTTCTTTCATCTCCCCTTTTTTTTTTTTACACAATTTAAATATTTCACCACCAAAATAAAATAAGAATTTAAAAAAGAAAAGGAAAGAAATTCGTAATTGTTGAAAAGATTTAAAATAAAAATCTAAAAAATCCACCACTATAAGTTGTTTTAGATCAGCACTACTCATGATACTCGTGATAAGTTGATACTAAGGGTAACAGAAGTTCAAAGTGCACTGGTCCATCCATTAAAAGAGTCCCACGTCACCAAACAGTTCATTGGTCCATCCAGTGGGTCAGTATGGAAGCCCAGCTTGGCCATTACAAGAAAAAAAATAGAAAAAAAAATAGAAATAAAAATTTTAATAAAAAAAGAGAAAAAAATGTAAACTTATCAATCACTATGAGTTGTTATGGATCAGTACTACTCATGATATTCATGATAATTTCACATATGAAAAAATTAAAATCTGTTATTTGTTTTAAAACCAAAATGGAAAAGCCATTTTGGTGTCAAAATAAAAAATAAAAAAAAAAAGGGAAAAAAAATCAAAATAGTCTGTGTTTGGTTTTTGGCAATTCCTTTTATCATCACCAAAAACCATATTCAAATGGTTTTGATTTTTAATTCTAAACCAAAAACAGATTCATGTGGGCTATTGATTTTTAGTTTCCAAACAAAAAGCAAGAAAATCATATTTTTAAAAAAGGCCCAATTTTGTTTATTTCTTATTTGGCAGAGACAGTAGAACGATGGACAGAGAGGAAGAGGAAGTGAAGTGTAAAAAAGTCAAAATAAGATAAAAAGTTGAGCCCAACTGATACTGATAATGAAATATGTGCTTCAGCAACCAATATTCACTTCTTACATAAATGCAAAACATAAATAAATAATTTTAAAAGGATTCCTTAAATTTGTTGCCATATGTCAATATGTAGTGAGTGGGTCATTTTAAAGGGTTACAATCAACTTGTATGAAAACAAGCTAAAAGTATTGATTATTTTCACACAAACTTAAAACTCACCTTTTTGGCACCAACAGGATTTATTGTCAATGTATTAAAAACACACACACACAAAAAAAAAAAACCACACTGGCTCTTGGGAAATAAACTGAATAAAGATAGGATCATGGGTTTTGCATCATGCAAAGAACCTGCTTATTTCCATCCCACACAGAGAAAAAACAACACAAACACCAACAGTCAATCATCATTACTCTGACAGCACACCTGTTCACAGCAGACAAGTGGTTGCTGGACACAAAGAAATATCATAAATAAATACTGCTCACAAGGTTGGTATATTCTATATATTTTTAGTGTATTTAAGATTGGGAAATATTTATATTAAGGCTACTTTAGTGAACATTTAGATTCACAGAACAAAGCACATGTAACTCAGTGTTTAATTGCATCACCTATATTTTCCAATTTCTGTTCACTGCAAAGATATTATTATGTTTTTACATTTGAATACTTGAGATTTTCCAATGTATTATATATAAATTCAATATAGATGATCAATTTCATGGATTAGCATTCTTCAAATTCATATTTTGTGCTTTAGTGTATTGCAAAGAATGTGTCATGATAATTTTTTATCAATAATCTTGATGATGCTTTTATCACATACCATTTAAATGACTGTAATTATGTTTATCCTGCCATCAATGGCTCAGATCCTAAAGAAATTCAGGACAAAGAAAAATGCTAATTGTTCTCTGCCTCCCTTTAGTGGCCACTATTTCACTATTTTATTCTCCTCCTCAGGCTCTGAATCATCAAACATGTCGGTCAACTCTTCCTCCAACATCTCCCTGCTGTCCCCTCTCCTCTGCTACTCAGACTCCTCTCTCTATCCTCACATTTTTACATGCTTAAACCACACCGTCAGCTCCCTCATCTATGTCACCTTCACCTTGATCAGCATCCTCCTCCTCCTCCCTCTGCACGTCCTCGTCCTCTGGAGGAGTTTCCAACAGTGCTGCGCAACAAGCCACTCTGATGTCTTCACCTACTACATGGTCACCGTGGAGATTATCGGCATTGTGGGATCAGTTGTGTATAGTGGTGCGATGGCCACATGTAGTCATATGCTGGTGATGATTGGGTATTATTTTTTATTCATCACTTACCCTGTGCAGACTTTCTTTCACTGCCTGATGTGTGTGGAGCGCTACCTGGCTGTTGTTCACCCCATCATCTACCTGGGCCTGAGAAAGGCGGGTGGGGTGAAGGTCAGAAACATCAGCATTGGGTGCGCTTGGCTGCTGTGCTTTGGATTAGTGGGTTTAACAGCTTTGCACTTCCCTAATTTCCCCACTACTGAGTTATTTGCCATCTACATCACTGTCATAATTATTGTCTCTTTCTGCACCCTTTCTGTTCTCCGTGTTATGATTCGCCTAGGGTTGGGGAAAGTGGGTGGGAGTAAGGAACGGATTGACCAATCAAAGCAGAGAGCTTTCTATACCATTCTAGTCATAACGGGAGCGCTGATATTGAGGTCTTTTGGGCTAGGGGCTTTCAATGTAATATTTAGCTTAGGGGAAGGAATTGGCAGCAATGAATGTGTGGTGCTAATGTCTGGAGCTTGGTTGAATCTTCCAAGCAGCCTGATTCCCCCCCTGCTGTTTCTATACAGAACAGGAAAACTGCCATGTTTTAATCGACACATGAATGAAGGTGAAACCTAGAGAAAACTAGAATCACCTCTTCACGGTTGTCTGTCAACGTCCCTGTTTATCCAGAGTCATTTAAATATTAACCAATTGTGTGTTTGTCATAATTGTTGTGTGAAGTCTTGAGTTGTCGCTAAAAAGTGTTTTCTGAGGTCACCATGATATTTGTGCAAAATTTGAAGGGATTTCCTTGAAGAGTTGTGGAAATATTATATTCACTCAGTTTGTGCTTAAGTCCAACGTTTGGACCAAATTTGAGAGATGTCACGTTCACAAGGCCAAAACTGCTATTTTATGGGGTCACTGTGACATTGACCTTTGACCTTTAGCCACTAAAATCTAATAATCAATTTGTCCTTGAGTCCAGATGAACGTTTTTACCAGATGTGAAGAAATTCCCTCGAGATGTTACCACCAAAATCTAATCAGTTCATCCTTGAGTCCTACTAAATGTTTGTGCCAAATTTGAAGAAGTTCTGTCAAGGTGTTACTGAGATATCATGTCCGCGAGAATGAGACAGACAACCCAAAAACAATATGGAATAACTAGACGACATGAGATTAGAGGTTCATATTGTACATTGGTTAAAATAGAGGTGACAACAGTTACAGTGAGTGAATTATTAGTTCAGATAACATTGTAAAAGTGCTTTCTAAAAAGCAGAAGATGCTTGGACTGGGCTTTTTCCTATTGTGCTGCTGAGTTGTGAGTAGGACACTGTTAAGTTAATGCCAGTGTATTATGGGCTGTTGCTCTGGTTTCTCCAGGTAGTGTGAGGTTAGGGTATCGCTGCATCTACGACAGATCTATTGTTGATAGGGTGTTCTAGGTGGTTGCTATAGTTGTTGTAGGTGGTTGCTAGAGTGTTTGTTTGGGTATTTGAGATGGTTGCTATGGTGTTGTTAGGTAGTTGCTAAGGTGCTCTAGGTAGCTGCTATTATAGCCCAACCTTTACAGTTTTAGAGGTTTTTTAAGAATTGTGACCACAGTGTGTGTTAAGCCGGACATTTTGCAGGCAACGTCGTTCTACATCTTAGCTTACTTTGGCATTTTTACCTTGCAATTTATCAATAATTATTGGCTGAAATATACAACAATGTTAGCATAAGCTAGGTCCCAAAAGTCCCACTCATTTTTCCCATTCAGCTTGAACCTCCAAGCTTAATTGCTTGGCGTCTCCAATGGCTACCAGCACTAGAAACTGTCCCTTCCCACACGTGACAGCGACCCCCACCACAGCATTCAGGGGTCTCCTCTGCGGAGGGGATTAGCCACCTTCTGTCCAAAGCTTCAAACACCCGCCTTGATCATCAAGGTTTTCAAGGTTGATCCTGACATCCTACATCTGCCAAATTTCGCCGCCATCTGCCGAGGACGTTTTGAGAGATCTCACTCTGGGAAGAGTTGGATGAGCAGAGCGAAGGACCAAGTGATATCGTAGTACAGGTGAACAGTCTCATGACAAAGATTTACCTCCACATTGAAATGAGCGTGACCCAGCTACAATAACAAATAGTAAGCGTGCGCATGCCACCCTCAGATCCAGCAAATGGAAAAACTATCTCTCTTGGCAATGCAGACACATGTCAGATTTAATGAAGTGGTCATTGGTGGTTTTGTAACATGCAAAGAACCCCTAGTTCTGTTTATTTTCCACATATTCCAGACACACCTACTTATACAATGTATGTTCTGACAGGACACCTGAAGGCAGGCAGTCTGTGGAGAGGGAGGACGAGGACACAATTTCACCTGTTTGGAAGAAACTTAAAATAAAACCCTACGAACAAGGTCTGTCTCCTTTAGTAACCTCAAATACATTTATATTTATTTGTAGTATTCTAAATAATTATCTGATAGTCAATGACAACCATATTTGAAATGATGAACTATTTTCAAAGTTGTGTAACTTTCACTACTTTTTTGATAAACTCTATGTTAACTGTTTGACTTCCCCAAAATGTCACTGTCTTTTTGAAAGTTGAGAGGTGGAGCCGCCGTGGATCAAGGTGTGTCCCTCCTTGTAAAAGGTGACTCTCAAATACTGAAGTACCTATGTGAACAGAGAAGTAGCTTAGGCTACAGGAGTGGTTTGAGAGGTTTGTATCAATCTTTTCTTCTTTTTTTTTCCACTGGAAAGATTGATCACCAATGGAATTTATTTTAACTGGGTGGGAGGTTTGATATTACGATAAACTTCGAGGCAGTGGTAGGAGCAAATGGTCCTACTGACCTGTAGCCTTCAAGATGCCAAAGTGTGCCAATAAAATA